GTATTAAAATTGAATTAATTTTTTTTAAGGTCGGCCGTCACGTGGCAACCGTCGCGGCTTTAAAGTCGAACTGGCCAGCATTAAATTATTTGGACTTGGAACTGCTTAGGTTGGTATGTCACGGCACTGATATATAATATGTCAGGCTAAGTAAGTACAACCAGGTAATGCATATGTTATAATACACACCATATAAATTATAATACCAATCATTGACACAAAAGAAAATAAAAAAAAAATTGTCAAACTCTTATTATTATCTGGCATGACTCTATTTATCAATGCATACCATGAGTTCGCAGAGGATGATGACACGTAATAATGTAGCACATACGTTTAAAATTTAGGAGTGTAGAAGTTGGACCTTTTTTTTTTAGGTAATATTTAATTATGACATTGATTTTAACTAAATTAGTATTTGTATTTAAGGGAAAAATTATTTTGTTCATTAAATTTTCTTTTCTATCCTATTTATCTCTTAAATTATACATTTTATTATTTACTAACTTATAATTAATATTGTTAAACTAACCATTTTATTTCTAAACTCTCCGATCATATAATTAAAATTTTTAAATATTTTTTATTATAATAATTAATTGTTAAAAAATAAAAATATTAATTAATATGTTACAATTAATAATAAATATTATTAAATTTATTTAATTTTTAAATATTAAATTAAAATATAATTAAATTTTATATAATTAATTCAGACTAGGTAAACTGCTTTTTTATATTTACTATTTGCTATTTGTTAATCCTGTCACAAATTTGTTGCAGATGGAAATCAATTGGTGGCATGAGGATAGTGAACAAATTGTTAGCAACTGCGATTTTTACCATTTATTTTTTTTTTATTTCATTTAATGGTATTAATCTCTAGGGGGGGGGGGGGAAGGGTGCATTATATAGTTAATGTGGTAAATAAGATAGAAAAAAGTGCAAGAAAGCTTTATATTTATTAATTAATTTTTCTTCTTTAAACAATGGTAAATATCAAAATTTTTTTATTATGTTATAACTTTTTGTATAATATATAGTTTTTAAAAAGCGACCTTCTGATAATACTATTCGCATTTAAGGCATATATAAGAACAATTAATCAATATTGAATAAAGAATTAAAGTATTTAGAAGCAAGTCTAATTGAGGATCATGAAAGCTGTAATTAAGATAAGTACAATGTTACATTAAATGCATAATATAAAAATGGACTTTAATCATACTGATATTACAAAAAATTGTAAAATAATTAAATTCTCTTAAAAATTAATTTTCACAAACCTATTTAAATAGCATGATCAGGCCCTTAAATGAAATACCACCGTATAAAAAACGAATTTAGCTGACTTCTATCCTTTACAAAAATGGTCGAATGGGAGATTAGGGTTTTGCACAGGTTTCAAATTCCTCGTCGTATTGTTATTCTTTTGGTTAAAAAAACCAAGTTTGAAACTCGGGCTTGCAACGGGTAGGCAGTCAAAAAGTAATTAAACACACATTTGAAAATTTAAATCAACCAAATTTGCAATAATCCAATCCGATTGGTACTTAATGTGCTAATTAAGCTTTTGGGTATTAATAGAATTATACAAAGAAAAAAAAAATCCAATTGCTCAGATTTGGCCAAGGTGCAATCGGTAAATATATTTAAATCTACTGGACAGACAAAAGGGCGAGGTTGAATAAATTTGAAATGCAGTAATTTCTCAAATCAATTTAAACATACTTCAGTATTTTGGGACTTGGAGATATTCCAAAGTTAAATGGGATAAAAATTACACCAATTAATGCGGGAAGATTCTCTGGTGATTACCAGGGCCGGGGGGGGGGGGGGGGGCAGCTTTTTCATTTTAACAAGAAACTTAGTGTTTAAATCTCATTTATTACCCCCTGGAATTTTATAGAAAATAGTCTAATTAAATTAAACCAATTACATATATAATTTTTTATTTAACATATATCTAAATTTAATAACATGTATAGTTAAAATTAAAGATAAAATTCAATCTAAATTTTTATTCTTAGATACTCCCTCATGGAATTTTTAATTATATTTAAAATATTTAATATTAAAAGTCTTAGTATTGTAGGGAAGTAAAATAAATTTTTTTGTTGTATTTTCAATGAATTTTAATCTTTATCCAGAGCCCATTTAATTTACAGGATAAGGTTTAAAAAAAATGAAAGTAAAGATATGTATTAACATTTATATATCCTTATCTTATATGCATACACAAGATAAGGTTTAGAATAGAAATTTCAAGTATCAACTTTTATCTTGTTTTACCTGGATGGATAAGAATAACTCATTTATAGAAGTGCCAAATAGTTTTATATTACTTTAACAGGATTATAAGGAATTTTATAACGATTATTTATTATCATTGCAAGTAGAGAGAGTTATAAAAATAAACTAATTAATTATTGCTTCCAAAAATACAAAGACAATAAAGAGAGTAGTCAAATCAGTAATCACTTTTAAGGTGCTTAAATTTTCAGGGTTTTTATGTTATTATTTTGTTGGAAATTTTTAGAATTAATAGCATTAAGATAAATTTTTTATATTTTCAGGTTTTTAAGTTGTAAATAAATTGCATAGAAAAATTTGAAAGTTTTTGATTGTGTTTAGAAAAAGCCTTCATCCATGTCTTCTAATATTTTTCACTGATAAATTTTGAAGGATTTGAATTAGGACCAAGGATTTAAGGGTAGTTGATTAATTTTTTTTTCCCGAATAAATATGGTAACAATAATTACAATATAATTTTCCAACTACTCTATACGAGTTCTTCCAGAAGATACACAGAGGAGGAAAGGAGGGATCTTTGGTCTGAAGACATCATCATCATCGTCCGCGGAGCATATAGATCGGAGCCAAGAAAGTAACAGCCCAACCTCTCTTCTTCTATGTGTAAGACAGGGGAGTCTTGGGACTTCTCACGGTTGTTGAATTGTCCCATGACACAAGACCTTTTTGAAAGGCGACAAGTTACTCTGAGATACAGATTGCTTTGATTTTCGAGCTACAGATTTTAACTGCATATATATGGTTCGAAGGAAATCAACAGAAAACCGATGACTGGAAGCTGCGCTTCACTTGTAATTCGGAGGTTCTCAGGTAAGCTTCTTTGACTTCTGGTGACTTCTGTTTGTAGAATTGACGACGCTGGTAATTCGCTCAACCTGGACTCTTTCTGTGTTCCTGTTGTTAGTTTTATCTATCAAATTGTTTTTCTTCTCAAAATTGTTTATGGATTTTCGGGTTTGTGGTGGTTTCGTGTTATCTGATCGGATTTTCTAGTGGATCTGCTTGCATTGCCGAAGTATGAGCATCTTGTCTACTTTGGAACTTGTACTAAAGTGGCTGTACGCTATGATTTTTTTTTTTTCGTTCTAGTGTTTGGATTTTTGGTCAACTTAAAAATTCTAATTACTGTTTGATTCCTCTTCTGCATTATTTATCGGCCAACCGTAGAACCCTATTGGATCTAATGAAAGTGAAGGGCACATGTTAGGATTATTTCTATGCTGCTGTGATTGGTTTCTGATTAATATCACATGGATGGGAATTGAATTTAAAGCAATAGGGTGGGAATTACAATTGCATTTCCTAACCTGGAATTTGTGATTGTGTATAAAATAAAGAAAAATTGCATCTTAGCTTCATCTAAAGGATCATGAAAATCAACTAGTTTATTTACTTCAACTAATTATAATATTGGGTATTATTTTTTCTTGCATGAACAATATATGCAGCTGTGTTTTCATGGTACTTGTTACTAGTTCTATATATATATATATTTTTTTTATTTTTTTTTTCTATAGAGTAAGATGTAGTTAGTATGATTATAATTTGACTTTGGATCTCCATAGGTTGCATTTTCTTAATTGCAGCATTATGTTGGAGATAAAAAGGACAACAAAATGAGGATGAGGAACAAATATCGGAAACCAACCACTTTACGTTTCAATGCAGGAACCAGATGCTCATTTCCTGTGGTTATATGGAGCCTGGTGGGCTGCCTTCTTCTGCTCCATTTCTACTCCCTAGTTCATCAAAGAGATGGGGAAGGTGGCAAGACACGATCACGCACAGGTCTCCACCCTTTTCTCCGTGAAATTGAAGAGGTGGAAGAGGAGAATATTCAGATTCCCCCACCAAAAGGAAAGCGTTCACCACGTGCTGCCAAACGTAGGCCTAGGCGGACAACTACATTGATTGATGAGTTCCTTGATGAGTCTTCCCAGCTTAGGCATGTATTCTTCCCTAATCAAAGTACTGCTATAGATCCGATGAAGAATGCTGGGAACGAAAGTTTCTATTATCATCCTGGGAAAATTTGGTTTGATACAGATGAGAATCCTATTCAAGCTCATGGAGGTGGTATACTATATGATGAGAGATCAAGGACATACTATTGGTATGGGGAGTATAAAGATGGGCCAACTTACCATGCTCACAAAAAAGGGGCAGCACGGGTAAATACTTCATCTGAATATGTACTCTTGAATTATTGGTCAATGGTGTCAATTAAAAAGAACGAAAGTTTTCTAAATGTGATGATTATTTGCTTCAGTTTCTAAGGTTTAATCCATTTAAAAAGACAGAATGAATAAGATCTATTTGCTCTATACACTCAATTTCATTCTCTCAGGATTTGTTATCTGAACCTGGTTTTTCTTTTCTTTTGATGTATGATTTATTCCATATGTTGAGTTTAAAACTAAAAACTATGTTGTCATGGATATATACTTATTAAATAAATTATGTAACCAGAAGTATTATGCTTGTTATTATCACTTCTGCTAACCATTATTGTGAAATGGACAGAAAATTTAAACCTCTTATCCACTTTAGGCTGAAATTTTTTCTTATTTTGTTTGCAAGGGTGTAGTGATTGCTTTAATCCTTTCATTCACATTACTTCATTTTGTTCTTTCTTCTTCATTTTCTTTCAATAGACAAAACAATCATATTCGTACTTTTGAGAAGAGCGGTTATGCATCACAACTTATTCTTTCCATGTACTTGGAGGATAGATTGTCTCATAATTCTTGATAACTTTTAATTCATCAGACTGGTTTCCATTTCTGAAAGGATTTTTAGGTTTTCTACTATTCCTCACTGTGTAAGGTGCCCACTACTTGGTGAGGGAGGTCAAGCATAGGAAATGCAGCAGGATAGGGGTATTTTAAGGGGTAGACCACTCAAGGTTGGGCTTTAGGTATTTAAGCCCCTTATTTTATAACAAAGAAGAGGCTGTTTTCCTTTTGATTACCAGCTGTTCTCCTTTGCTGTGTTCAATTGACCATTTTACACTCAAGTGTTTTCTCATTGATTTTCCAAGTTTATGGAGCTGAAAGTAGTAGTATGCTTAGTTCCGTCACAGCAAACATTTAACATTTAATTTCAACCTGAAATATTGAAAGTCCTCGAAGCACCATGAAGATAAACCTTAAAATGTACAGTAGTCACTCGGAATTGACACAGGATGTTCAGTAGTGAGACCAGTTAGGAGTTCTCTGTTTATAATTTACCATGGCTATCCTCCCTACTTCACTTTCAGAATGGGCCTTATGAGTGTTGCTATATATATAGCATGACAGAAACTGTTGTCGGAACTGTTCACTGACAGGGCTAGAACATACCATAATTCAAGTGAACCCACTTAAAATCTTTACTGAACTATGACTGGCCATCATATTAGTAAATAAATGTATGCCTGGGCTTAATGTCTGAAAACTATGAGGGATTAGCTTAAGGAGTACTGTGAAAGGTGTTAACTGCAGTGGGACTCCTGCAGGTAATGAGAAGCTTTAAAATGGTTCTGCTGGGAGCTGCCATTCAGTCAAAAATTATTTTTCCTAAAGGCTATGGATTTAATAATGTACACTTGTTGATCTTTTCTCTTTTTTTAAACTTTTAACGTGTCCTCTCCCTTATGGTTGTCTTAAAAAGTCGGAATAGTTGTTTGCTCGGAGCATTGATATACAGAATTTTGCCATTTCCTGAACTATATTTTATATTGACCAGATTGAAAGAACCAGATGCTAACATATGAAGATTTAAAATTTGAAATTTAGGAGAAGTATTTCCCAGTTGAGTCAGGCTGGCATTAAGACTTGACTTTTACTAGATAAAGTCATGAGCATTTACATTGGTGGGTATTGCAATGAAGAAATTATTTTTAGAACACCTATTTCTCAGTTAAGTTACGTTATCTGATTGCAAGGAAGGGAGCCGTGTGCAAGACTGTGGATGACCTTAAAAGGACATGGGCTTTGTGTTTAATGTAGAGAACTGCATACTGATTTTGTTGATCTTGGAGCTATATTAAGTGATTTTAATTTGTGAGGTACCATAGCAGGATACTCTCAACTTGTTTAGGGAATGGATCCATGTCTAGCATGGTTAATTGGACAGTCCACACAATAGTTATGTTGGAAGTGATAGAATTGACAATGAAACTATGTAACAACTCCAAAACTATACATAAAATATTCATGGTGTTTTGTAATTGCCATTTCACTTGAAATATATGAATGCAATTTTTGAATTTAAATAAAATAAATAAATAAATAAAGATTCTAGTCCATGAGGCTACCTGCTTTGCAAAGTTGAATAAGGATTATCAAGTGTAAGTAACATGTGACCTTTTGGTTATGAAATATATAATTAGCTTTATCTTAGTATCAAATTAGATGAATTGGACTCTTAACAGGACAATGCCATCCAAATTCATGTAGCATAGAGCACAGATAATATTCGATTTTCTTCGTTATCGTGTAAGTTCCAAAATAACTTGTTCATGAGTTGAGGATCTGATTGACCGCCTGACTGAGATTAGGGCCTCATTTGATAGTAGGTTTCAGGAAAGTGAGTTTGGGAAAAGTGAATTAGGATAGAGTTTAGAATTTTGGGAATAGTAGGGTTTAAATAAAATGAGTTTGAAGAAAGCAGCTTTAGTTTTAAAAAATTTTTAAAAATCATTTTTTAGAAAAGAAAAAATTTCATAAAAAAAATTTACCCAAAAAAATACTTTCATGTTTAAAAAAATTTTAAAAATTTTGGCCACAGGAGGGTTTGCTTAACCCTCCTGCAGAGGGGTATCAGCATAACCCCCATACACAAGGGGGTATACAATTCCCCCAGTAAGCCCTCCTGCGGTTTGAGAGCCTGGCTTGGCCTGGCCTGGCTATCAAACAGGGCCTAGGTCTACCAACTTTTGGACAGTAAGCGTGTGATGAAATGATTGCACAGTGGCTTTTATTGTTTTTTCCCTAAATTGCCATATAATTTGCAGCTAAAGACATTGAAAGATTCTCTTAACCGCAACCATGTCATTTCATTGTCTGGACATCTAACTTGCTGCTTATTCTAGGCATTATCTGGCTTGTAGCATTATATTTCAGACTTATCTTCCAACAGAACAATCCCTTTATGTTATTGGAAAAAATAGCTGTAGGACATCACAAAGTAATTTTCAAACAAAAGATGGCAAATGAAACTGAGAATCTGCTTAACATGGACTATTTGATGAATGGTTCTGCAAAATGATAAATAAAGAAAAATTATGCATGTCCAGGGATATACCATCCTCAAGCAAATTTTTGAAAAATTATACATGCATGTTATGTGTACTGTATATCAGCAAATGTGGCTTGCTTTTGGAATACAATACAACTTTTTGGCGATGATGGTCTATTTTATGAAATAACAATAACTGTAGTTTAGTAATTCACCCTTTATCTGAGCTTCTAAACTCTATTGCAAAGGTAAAAAAAATAATAATAATAATGACATTGCCCTCCTCTTTATAGGTTGATGTTATTGGCGTTGGTTGCTATTCTTCCAAGGATTTATGGACATGGAAAAATGAAGGCATTGTGCTTGCTGCAGAAGAAAATAATGAGATGCATGATCTTCATAAATCCAATGTGCTAGAGAGGCCAAAAGTAATCTACAATGAGAGGACTGGTAAATATGTAATGTGGATGCATATAGACAATGTCAATTACACTAAAGCATCTGTTGGTGTTGCTATGAGCGATTACCCCACTGGTCCTTTCGATTATCTCTACAGCAAGCAGCCTCATGGATTTGATAGCAGGGACATGACAGTCTTTAAAGACAATGATGGTGTAGCCTATCTAATCTACTCCTCTGAAGACAATAGCGAACTTCATATAGGCCCACTAAGTCAAGATTACCTTGATGTGACAAATGTCATGAGACGGATTCTGGTGGGGCAACACCGGGAAGCGCCAGCTTTGTTCAAGTATGAGGGGACTTACTACATGATCACATCAGGCTGCACAGGATGGGCTCCAAACGAGGCCTTAGCCCATGCTGCAGAAACAATTATGGGGCCATGGGAGACCATGGGCAACCCATGCATTGGGGGTAATAAAGTGTTTCGTCAAACTACATTCTTTGCTCAGAGCACATTCGTGCTTCCTCTTCCAGGACTTCCAGGCTCTTTCATATTCATGGCAGATCGGTGGAACCCGGCAGACTTGAGGGATTCAAGATATGTATGGTTGCCTTTAACAGTGGGTGGAGCAGCAGATAGGCCTCTTGACTATAACTTTGGGTTCCCGTTGTGGTCAAGAGTTTCAATTTATTGGCACAGAAGATGGAGGCTTCCTTACAGATGGAGTGGAAAGAAATGACAAAAAGGAAAGATTTTCCTGCGGCCTTATTGTTTCATATGATGGTGCACCATTGAGGTTCATTCTACCAGAAGGTGTCATATGAAATCTGACTTTACAGGACGAGGTGCAGTATTTTCGTTCTTGAGATTTCTTGTGTAGGTTATGTTGGAAAGGTCAGGTATCTGCTCACCCATTCTGGTTGAAGTTCTCCACAATAATTAATAATTAAATTCAGGTTAATCAAAGCTTTCTCCAACATTAATCTTTTTGCTTAATATAACAAATAATCATACTGACAGCATCGTGATGGTCTTGTATTTCTACTGCTTATATAGGGTCGTTTTCCAAAATAACAATGGCCTTTCTTCTCCATCCGATTCATGAGATGTTATTGTGGCCACAGTGGAAGTTAGCAATGTCTTGTGCTGGTAGGACTTGGGAGGAACTAAATTGATGGGGATTAGAATTAGTTATGGGTATTTGCTAGGTCAAATTATGTGGAAGAGTATGTGAGATAACCAAATATATATAGACTTTTCTGGGTTACAATGGATGGAAGAAGTCACTGCAATGGTTTGTTAAGCACTGCATAATTAGAACTCTGAAAGAAAATGTAATTTTCATTTTCTATTTTGCAGAGATCAAAGTAGTAGCTTCTGTTTGAGGTCATGAGATTCTGCAGAAGCTATTTGTCGAGCTAACACAACATGGCTTTAGATGTCATTAGATCCTAATCAAACGGGAAACACTTGTGTAACACAATTATTACATGGTTTTGTCGTATTATATGACATGTCGCTTGAAGAGTTGTCGTTTGTTCCCTAGTCTGATAAGTACAACGAGGATGGGTGAGTAGGTTCTGAATTCATCTAGTTGGAGGGATAATTGAGGTGCTCTTTGCTACAAGGTTAGAAGTTGGTTTTTATTGATATGAATGTCTAATTTCTTGTGCTTTTTGATCGAGGAAATTAGATCCTGAAAGACCAGCTTCTATAGACAAAACTACTTGAGAAGCAGGGTTTATATAGCTTTTGTCAAATGGTCCCTTCAAAGGAGAGAGCAATATGGTGTGGGTGTGGGTGTGGGTGTGGGTGTGTGTGTATTAAATTTCTTACATTTGTGCATGGACTTGTAATGGATTACCAAATAAAATTAGTCTATTTTCTAACTTATCAAATAAAAAGAAGTTAAAAAATGGATATATTTTGGCTTTACCTGCCTTAACGCTATATAAATACAAATTACTTTTTAAGATAAATAGCACTTGACCTTTAAAAGAAAATTACTTTTAGCATTATACCTTTTATAAATAAATACAAGAGACCATTATCTACAAATTTTAAATTTATATCACTTGTCTGGTCAATAATCTGGTGAGTTTTTTACAAAAATAAAAAATAAAAAAATTAACACATACGATTTTTATAGTACATGAACGTTTTTTAAAGGTAAATTTTGTAATTCAACAACTAAGTTTATAGATAAATGATGAAAATTAGTTTACGAAAAAAACCATCTATCTATTTGAATTGTATTAATTGTTATTTATTTTCAGCTTTTGTCATATACTTTATTATTGTTATGTCTTATATAATCTAATAGAAAATATTAAGAAGTCAAAAATATAATTAATTTTAAAATATGACTCTAGTAAATAAACTTCAATAAACTACCATTTTCATAGAAACAAAAACTCCATGGCCAATTCACAAAAATGTAAAAGAGGATTACAGGGCAATATCTTTGTTCTTACAAAAAATTTAACAGAAAATATTCAATGAATCAACTAAATTGTTAACATTTTCGATAAAACTTCAACTGAAATGATGTCCAAGGATAAATATTATAAATTTGAATATTGCAAGAGATAATATCTATTATATATTTGCAAAGAGTATAGTGTTAAAAGTTAAAATTTTGAAAGGATGAAATACTATTTATTTTTATTTTAGCAATATGTTCTTAAAATATTTTTTAAAAAATGTTGTAAAAGTATCTGACATTATTAGTTATTTTTTTTATTGAAGAGCAAAACATTAAGTCTAAATCTCTCTCAAAAGGAGGAAATTACAAAATCTTATGATCATTGATCAGCTAATCTAAATTATCTAATAATCTAGGATTGTCAATGGAGCGGATTTTAATCTGAATTCAATTCGAATCCGATCCTATTATTTAAGATATTTAATCAATAAAAAATTCGATCGACACAATTTAATTAAAAAAAATCTGTAATTCAAAATAAATTGAGCAAATATGGATCTCACTTGATTCGATCCGTTAAAGATCAGAATCTGATTATAATATATATATATATATATTATAATATGTACATACACAAGTATTATTGTGTTTATATATGGATGAATTTTAGAAAAAGTAAATAAAGTTCGTCATAATTTAGTTTATAGAATTAAATAAGTTTCATTAGGTAAAATATTTTAAATAAAAATAAATAATTTATATAGTATAATTAATCTTAATATTTTTGTTTCCTTTATTTTTGTTCCAAAAATTTTGTAATTGAATAACTTATCATTTTTTTTAATTATTCAGATTTTCTAGTATTAATTTTTACAAAATATACTAATTACATTATTCATTTATCAGATATTTCTTTTTTTTTTTATCATTAATCTTTGTGTGGATAAATGGCATAATATTTAATATAATTTTTGCATTAAATTTACTTTTTTTTAGTTATACAAAATGGTTAATGTAAAAAAATGAATTTTAAAATAACATTTACACTTTTCCATCATATATTATGAAAATAACCATTTAAATAATGAGAATTTTCAAATATAATATTTTTATTTCATATAAAAATTGAATTTTGAAAAAAAGAAGAAATCTAAACCGTTCATAAAATCCTGTACAAAATCACTCTTGATTAGTTTGAGATGAAAGACTATTATTAACAAGTCACCTTCAAATAAAAATTTGTGGTGGATAAAAAAATGTAATTATATTATATCAATAATTTTAAAACTCATTATTATTTATTAGTTCATTATATTTTTAAAAGTATTTCTTATTTTATTTTTAAAATATTTTTATTTAGATTCAAATTATTTTTTCGAATATCAGATTTTTTGAAATTCGAATATGGTAATACTTATTATAGATCTGATTAAATATTGAGTTAAATTTAAATATAATATATAATTATCAAATTCAAATTTGAATTTATAATGATTTAATGTAAATCCAATCTATTGGCAACCGTAACGTAAGCCACTTGGAACAAGGCCAATTTTCTTTTCCCATTTCTGTTGGTTGGATTGGAACATAGGTGGGCCCTGTGCCGCCCATGCGGGACTTGGGCCTTGTTTCTCAAGTGGACTCGAGTTGGGGCAGACCGCCGAACTTTTATGGCAGCCTTTTTCCTGAGGCAGTCCATGGTCCACAGTGATAGGACCGGACTGGGCTAAACAGATAATGGACTTGGAGGGAACGTCTCAAAGATGGGCCCCCACTCTCTTTTTCTCTGACAGTCAGCATTGGCCTTTCTTGCTTTCTATTTTCCTCCTTTTTCTTTTTGGAAAGAAAGGTCAAATCTGTTTTAAAAAAAAGAAAAAAGAAATGTCAAATCTTGCTACAACTAAACTCTCTATAGAGAATTTTTCCACTGGTTAACCGTTTCATAGAAAAAAGTTCTTGAGACCCGATCGAAATATTTTCCTACTCTCTTTCTGGAATGTTTATTTTGAAAGGCACATAATTAATTCCTTAGTTTTTCACAAATGATAATATTTTTAAGAAAAAATTGATTACCAAAAAAATAAAAATTAATTTTCTCTAATTTATATAAAAAAACCTGACTCCAAACAAAATCCCCCAGCAAACTTTACAAAGTAGAGCGGCCCATAATAAGAAAGGATTAGTGGGTGATCTTTGTCCGCCAAATCTTCAAGTGTGCTTAACGGGTCGCGGATTATCAACCTTAAAAATCACTAATAAAGATTATAATGTTTTTCTTAAAATAAAGATAAAATAAAACAAGATCCAGATTCCAGTTCGCAAACCTTACCTTGGTGTCCCACCATTGTTTTAAAAAGGCACCCGATCTTCATCAGTGCTCAGAAAGAAACTTTAAAAGCTTAAATAAGAGCAAAGTCATGGGGCCAACCCCCTCACCCAAAACCCACAAACAGACCCTAATGAAATGCCCACATAAAGAAGATACTGGAGAGAGAGAGAGAGAGCTGGGGAAAAAGCAGCTGGATATGAGAGAGAGAGAGAGAGAGAGAGATCAACATTGTTTCTAATTGCAAACCCGGGATGATGTTCTATTGTGATCAAAATTTTAAATTTCATTCACCAGAAAGAAATTTTATGATATAAAAAGAGGATTTAATTTCGTCGGTTTCCGTCGCAGTAAATGAGTGGAAACGGGTTTAAAAGTTAAAATAAAAAGTATTGGGGCCAATTAAAATTTCAATAAAACTTAAAGAGCGCAAACTGTGATTTAAGAGAAATGGGGGTCGGAAGGTGGCGCGGGTCTGTTAATGGCGAGGGTAGAAGTCTCGTCAAATGCAAAACTCTAAAAAGAAGTTCCCACTCCCTCCGTCTATTTCCTTTCTTTATCTCTTCCTTTCTCTGACGGGGGCCTAAAAAAAGGGTACTACTTTCTTGGTCACACACCAACACCACCACCACCTCCACCATGAAAGATTTCCTCTCTTCCTTTTCCTCTCTCTCTCTCTCTCTCTCTCTCTCACTTTCCGGGAAAGCTGATGGACTTGAAAATAGAAAATTGGAAAAAGTAAAAAAGACCATATCTATACAGTGGTAGTGCTTGCCACTACACCCACAATACCGCTACTGACCAAACAACTTTCTCTTTTCTATTTCCCCAAACGCAGCCCTACCCGGTTGGCCGTCCTAAGATTCTATGGTCCCAAACAGATGACCACCTCCATGAAGACTTGATTAAGATCATTTAACTCCTTTCAAAAATTTTAAAACATTTGCTGTACCTCTTAACATCTCTCAGCTGATATCATCTAAACCTACCTAATACCAACTCCATCTAAATTTTTGGACCAATAAGATATAAATAAACTAGTTTAAACTCGCTTAAACAGACGAGATTAGTAGATTTTGGTTTTTAATCACATCACGAAGAGCAATGGTGGGCCTTTCCACTTTTCCTTTTTGGATTGGCCAGGCTTTTTGTAATTAGAAACTAACCTAACTTTCCTAAAGATACCTTTTTTTTTAAGATTTAATTTTAAAGTGTATTAGTATTAAAATTCATGCCTTATAATAAATATCAAATAAAAAAAATATCCAGCTCTCATATCTTATACTTATTCAAAATATTAAAATTTTTGATTCAGTGTATCAGTCATTAATATTAAACAGACTCTACGAAATATTATATATATTATAAATTTACTTTTTTTTAGTTGAATATTTTAAGATAAAAATCGTAAAAAAAATTCTTATTTTTTAGGTTTTGGAAAAAAAGAAAAGTGCATAAAAAGTTTAGAAAATGAACTTCACTTATTTTAAATACTTTTGAGCCTCAACTTATATTAACAAGAATTTAATCATAATTGAGAGAAAAATTTAATTGATAATATAAAATATCAACAAGAACTAACTGATATACATATATCTACTTTCCTTCCATTTATTAATTAATAAAAGAACAAAACAATAACAAATAAAACTAAAACGAAGATCAAGATTAAGATCAAAACCAAACTTTGCTCCACAATAACATAAAATAATCATAAGTGATGATGATATATTACTTCACTTCCTATTCATCCAAATTTTAGTTAATAGAAAAAAAAAAAAAAAAACAGGCAATGACTTCTTGTTCTTTGCCCCATCAATCGTTGATTCAACCCTGCCAACAAACCAACAAACTAAACCAAAAACACTCCCATGCACACGTGCCATAAAAACCACAACCACGTGCGACCCACCACCCACGATCACGCCCTCCAGGCACTGGCCCACACCGCCGCCTGATCCTTCCACGCCAGGAATATTCCGGCCACCTCCGGGGACTGCGTCATCGACCACCCTTCTCTGTACCTCCTCAACAACGCTCTTACATCATCACACACCTCGTCGCTAAACGGAACCGGGCTAAACCCACCCGCATGCATTCGCCCGCACCACCTCGCTGCCGTCTCCCGCCGCTCTGTCGACTCCGCCGGCGGCCGGGCCACCAGGTCCACCACCGCCCTACCGGCAGCTCTCTCCAGCATCAACTTTTCGTTGCTCGTCCTGGGGAAGCTTTCGTCCAAAGTCTCGAAATAAAGCCGAAACCATCTCAAGCATTCTTGGAACCCACTCACGAAATCAAATCCATCAACACCCACATCAAGATCAGCTTCTTCTTCTACAATAGTCACAATCCTAGGTTGCAGACTCCTAAACATGGACAAAACGGCGTCCCGTCGGTCCCCCGCCACGGAGTGTAAACTGCAGACGCAGTTAACTGCGAGCGCCTCGTCGTCTTTGATGTCCAATTCAGATAAATTCAAGTCCGATAAATCGCCGGCGTGGTGTATAACGTTGAATTTGAATGGCACACCCATTAGTCTCGCGAACTTCTCCATTCTATGTCCGATTTCTTTCATTACCTTCTGCGCCGGCGGGGCGCTGCCGCCCGCTACGACTGTGAGCCGGAGGTGAGGGGTCTCGTCTGAGCGAGTCGCAATGGCCTCGAGCAAAGTTGGCCATTGCGTGCAATACGTGTTGCTAATATCAATTATGTGCAGCTTAGCCTCCCCTTCCAACGCCTCCATGATAAGGCCGTTGCACGCCACGTGACCGAACGTGGTCCAGGGGCTAACTTCCTGAAATTTCAAGACCACTTTTCGAGTATTCTCGAAGGAGCACGTCTTCTCCGCCGCCGAAGTCAACGTCCGGTAGCACCTCTCGCCCGAGTCCGTCATGCGGCTGAACAGAGCCTGAAGGAAGTATGAAGCTATCTTCTGTTCTATATCCCCGTAAGGCGAACCCATCTCGTTTAGCATCCACATGAGTTGCTGAAATCTAGCAGTGTTCTTATCGGCAATCGCTCTTGCAGTCTCCATAAGAATTTCAGACGCCCATCTTCCGGAGAAGTCTGGGATCAAATCCCGGGTCGGTGAGAGAGAGAATGGGTCGCCGGATTCGGATCCATGGTGCGCCGGGGGCGTGCTTGAGGTGGCTTGTTGGTAGTGCTGGTGCTGGTAAGGGTAGTGGTGCTTAGAAGAGGAAGAAGAGAAGTCGTCTTCGTCCATGAAAGCGTTGAAGCATTCTTCGTCCTGTTGATGGTGGTTTCGTTGTCTGGAAGATCTGGAACTGCTGGAAGTTCTGCTGGAGTTAAGGGACTGATCGGATTGAAGACTCACTAGTCTGAACAAAGTATCCATTTAACCGAAGACCCACATCAAAACGGAAAAAAATTATGCGTGTGATTCTGTTCTGTTAGGTCCCCGGACGCGAGAGATGGGCTGCTCTGTTGGTGTTTTTTGACAGTGAAATTGGGATGGATGGAGAGAATGATTAAAAAGAGGATCTCAAAGTTGGATTTTAGCTGTGCTTCTCATACCATAATTAGAGAGAGAGAGAGAGGGGAATCCAAGTAAGCAAAATTAACTTCTTTTTGTGTAATCGATGAGAGCAGTGGTTGTTCTTTTTGGGTGCTGGGATTTACTTGTTGAATTCTGGAGGGAAAATTATATTTTCGTTGGTAGTAATTTTACTTATAATATGGTCGGTTTAAATATATCAAATATATATTAAATTTAGTCTTAAATATCTTTTTAAATGAAAATTTTAAAAATAACTTTTTAAAGATATCAAGTTTAATAAAAATAAGTTTTATTGTAATTTTCTTAACAACTAGCCTAATTTTGCAAAGAAATTAGTATTATAAGCTAATTCAGATATAAAAATTGAGATTTATTAACTAAAAACCAAATGTAGTACATTTTTATTAATTTTGAGAACAAATATGTGACAATTAAAACTGAAGGGACTAAAATGAAATTCGAATGGAACTTTAGAGACTAAAATGCAATTTGTCTAAATTTAGCTGATGTGGGGATGGCTAAATGCTTTTATTAGAGTGTCCTTGGACAGTTTTGTCAGACATAATGCATAAAGAATTGTAAAAAAGAATGCAAGAAGGTCGAGGACGGGTGGTGGTTTTTAGTGGGTAAGATTTCTTCTATTATTTGTTTTGGTTGAGTGGGAGCAGGCGTGACAAATGGATTTTAGAGAGAGAATAGAGGAGCGAGAAAGACGTCAGAAAAGCTGCCGGCGTGCATCACCACCATCATCAAACCCACCACCACCACTCCCCGGGCGCTAAACACTACCTATTCTATTCTAACATTCCCTGCCTCCTAATCCCTCTCCAAACTCTGCCCAAAAATTCCCTGCTTTTACCTTTCTCATGCTTCCGCAAAAACCTATACGTGCTTGTTCCATTTTATTATTCTGTATCTAATGCCAGAAACTGTCTTTTCTCCCAAATCTAGGGCATGCCCTTCACTGTTTCATCCAAATGCAAGCAATACAATATTGCCTGGAAACACCCTTAAATCCATCAGGCCATAGCCTACTTCTTTCAGAATCAGAACGCTCCGCTGCATCAACCTGTCCGGTTTATGTGTTTTTTAAATTTTATTTTTTTTACAATGTCAAAGAAGGCTCTTTTTGATGAGAAATGTTTTATTTAACTCCAAAAATATACAAGTTTTATCTAAAAAAATCATTCTCTCTCTCTCTCTCTCTCTCTCTCTCTCTAGAGGGTAAATATTAACAAAAGAAAACAACCCCTTAGAAGCCCCGGAAATGGGCTCCAAGATCCTAAATAGAGTTTCAAAGGGTGGTCTCAAGTAAAAAATTTGGGTCCATGGTTGACTCTTTTGTTTAACCAATCTTTCCCGAACCTTTCTTTTCCTTACCTGCCATCGATTGCACCTATCAATTTACTGAGACTCGTGTTCTAACCTAGTTGGATGGACGCTTGAGTGGGCCGCTTAAGATCCTAGGTTAATATTAGGCTTTAACACAATCAATTAGTAATATTATCATTTGTTAATTAGTATCAAAATCTGATATGAACTTAGTAGATGTTGAAATTGTTGATTTAAAAATTTTAATAATATTCATTTTTATGTTAAAAATTTTAATTTTTTCTTATTGTATTAAATCCTAAACAAATAATTTTTACAAAAATAAAATAAATTCTCAAAATTTGTGTATAAGATAAAAAAAACATCTTATCCTCGTTAAATAACTTTATAGAGTCATGTGGTGTAATCAAATCGATCACTTCTTCCATAATTTAATCCGAATGAATTATATTTAATATGACTTATCTTTGAACTTTATTTTGACAAATCAAACCTCAATTTCCCTTTAAAAAGATCCTAATGTTAAGAAAAATATTTGGACAATGGTGTCCCCACCCCGCAACAACAAAGTCAGCATTCTTACCAAGACCTTACCGACAAGTCTTTCCTATGAACTTGACAATTTACATTACAACACGTCCTCCTAATTTTCTTTAACTTTTTCTATTGATTGGGTACTATAAAAGTAGATTTTCGCCCCATTATAGCTCATAGACGACAAAGTAGGTATGCGTTGATTTTCATTGACTTCCTCGTCGGAATGTTAAGGTCTACAGGTGCCCCAGGCTTTCTTCTTCAATCATTGGGTGGAATTCCTTGTTTGGAGTCTCTGGACTCCGTGGCGTGAGGGGCATTTATCACCAGTTTGGTTTTATATGCGAGATGAGTGAATCTGAAAACTAAATTTCTTTGATGGTTAAGATTTTTTCAAACGATGTGATAACTAAAAGAATAAATATTTAAGATAAATCGAGATGAACTGAAATAACTGCGAGGGACAAAGACCTCAAATCCGTTTGTTTCTGTTGGGTAATAGGAAACTCTCTTCTCTTGGAAGCATTCCCCACCAATCAATAAAGAAAGGAAGTATTGAAAAGGGGTTTAGGTGTACCCATTTCGGAGTTTGAATGAAGCAAAATATACATCATTTGAACCATCTATGTAGTTCAAAAGAAATGAATGAAAATTTCCAATGAAGAATCATAACCTATTTCAAGACGTAATCCATCTCCTAGTCCAATCCACTGTGTTGGGAAGGACAGTTTGGCCACCTAATTCCCAGGAATTTTCCAAGGAACTATGCTCCAGGAGATCAACTTAACCAGTAAGATTGATAAAAGTATATTTAATGAGTTCTAGTTCATTCAAAATCAATGGTGTTTTCAATAAACTACTGCACAAGACAGACTAACAAGACTTAACAAATGGTTCTCTTTTTGGGGGATAATTGTCCCACGGATATGTGGGCTCTACAATATTACTTTATTTGACAGGCTGACCAAATGAAAAAATGCAGATGAGATGTCACCATCCTCGTTCGCAGTAGAACTTTGTTTTGAATTACAGAAAAGTTGAACTCGTTTGCTTTATCTTTATTTTGATTTTATCCTGTTTTATCTTATATATTTGGTTCGAAAACCTTGCTAGTTTTAGGGTTGAGAGTAAAGAGAGGAAGACAGAGACACCCACTGGACACATTACCTAGCGCTAATATGATTAAATTGAGCAACTTCTAGAAATTTAAATTTAGTGGAGTGCTATAGTCATTTTTTTTTTCGCATATAAAACCTCTCTCCCACATATTATTCCTTTACTTATTAATAATAAAGAGATTAAATAGTAAATCATCGTCATCTCCACAATCTTCAAGCTATAATCTCTACTACAGTCTATTAATCGAAAGCCAAGGTCAAGTGTTTGTTAATTAATGGAAGACTCTCACTTTCAACAAACCAATCGTGGCCACACTGACTACTTGTGCATTGATAAAAAGAAACTAATAATTTAAGACTGCTATATTACTGGGGGACACACTGACAGAGAAAAAAAAAGGGTTGAAACCGTCTACATAATTGAGAAAAAAGGGTTCAGCTACTTCATCTATGCAGACGTGACAGGTGATAATATAGGCCACATTGGGTTAAACATATTGCGTTAACAGGACAGGAATTAGAAAAGCAAGAAACCACAAATCAAACTTCTCCAAAAACCGTGTGACATAAATTTGACACGATTTAAGATACAACCACAACAAATAAATGCAAATTGCCACCCCACTTCCATCAATTCGCCAAAGCAAACTTTGTGTTTGTATGAATCGAAGTAGAAAAGGTTTTGCAGGCAGTGGAATGCAATTCCTGCTCGGATGACATTGAAATAATGAAAGCATGAAGAAATATCCATCAATATTTGAACTCCTCAAATTTGAATAGAAAAATAATCTAAATTAGATGGAAGAATTTATGATACAATCTCTGGTGGAGCGCTTAATATTTTACAACCTACAGACAAAAATACAATGTAGCAATTCCATATCCATAGAGAATCCAAACCTATTGTTCTTTCCCATTTTCCTTTTATCATTCAAGTGAAGACGTAAACTGCTGGGCCAAAGAATATCCAGGGCACTTTCACCAGTGAAAACATGGTACACGATGTGTATAACCTTACCAGGCGGAAAAGTCTTTAAATTCACTTGCCGAGACACCTAATTTCCTTTTCTTTGCTGTAGTAATCGCCTGTGATCCATTGTCAGCAGCAGCAGCAGCAGATTCAGCCTGTGCATGCCTCGCCTTCAAGTACTTCCCAACACCACCACCTACAATTGCAGATTCCTTTGCTCCTGTTCCTGGATTGCTATACCATGACCCAATCTTGTCCTGTTTAGGTGAAAGTGGGGAGAAGTCATTGCCTTTGCAGGAAAAGAAGGGAACAAGATAAGAAAGAATGAAGTTTCAATTAATATAATATCAGAACATCTGTAACCAACATTGTCTTCATCTTCTTCTTTCTTTTCCTCTTTCGTTTTTGCCTGTTCATTGTCTTCATCAGGCTCTGTATATGGATTGACGAACACTGTTACACTGGTTATCTTTATCTCTTCCTGCAAAGCAACCAACAAAATACAAGATTTAACTCACACATATAACTCTCTTCTTGTTTCCCAATGAGTTCAAATGGGGCGGAACTTATTTTTACTACACAGCAGGGCTTGGGGATGATACTAGAGGAAAGAGAAAAGGTGACATATAAGAGAATGTGAACATAATATATGAAGAGAGGAAATTTTGTTATTTTACTGTTAACATTGTCTTATACTGGTTCCAAATTTCTGATAGAAGAACTTAGCATGACAGACTAACCAGAGGCCGATCATTGTCATCAACAGGAACCTTCTCCATTGCTGAAAGTGTGGTCAGACCACCAACAACACCACCAAAAACTGTATGCTTATAGTTGAGATGATTTGCAGACTTGTAGAGAATAAAAAACTGAGAACCATTTGTATGAGGCCCACTGTTTGCCATGCTAATAACACCCCTTCCAGAGTGGAGCAATCTTGAGTCTACTTCGTCTTTAAAAGTTTTTCCCCATATGGATTCCCCTCCTCTTCCAGTGCCAGTAGGATCACCCCTTGTATCATAAAATTTCTACATAAATAGCAAATGACAAAACTCCATCAGTCTTAAACTTTAACCAAGATCAGGTTTTAGCAGATAGGAAGACAACAGGCAGTCTAATCAAAATACCGTATGTTTCTATGAAAAGCTACTCCATTGTAATAGCCACGTTCACACAGAGTGATGAAGTTCTCACATGCCCTGGGGGTTATGTCACAATGCAGCTCAATGTTCAGATCACCATGTGTAGTATGTAGCTGGACATACCCTTTCTTCTTAGGATTCTTCTCAGCCATAACATATTCAAATTCATTTTTTGTCACAGGATCATAAGAAGTCGAAGTGAAGGATCGAGAAGCAGCACCTGTGGTGAAACGGCTCTTTACCTAGAAAATTCCCACAAGAATACTGAGTGATCGCAAATCAGATGCTGACATTTCCCTTTTTTCTGATACATGATAAATTATGCTACAGGAATTTCTAAGATGAATCTGTACCAAAAAGCACAGCAAAGATTAAGACAACATAAAAGCAACAGTTTCCAAATTTGTAATAACATAGCCACTGGCCACAGGTTCTTGCTCCTTATAAGACATCACTCAATATATATCCCTCAACTTATATCTATCTTGCTCCTCACCTAAGACATTTCACAAACCAAATTCATTAGTCTGTCAAGTATCTAGATATTCATCAAATCATCAATAATTTGCCCAAGGAATACAGGAAAAGAAATAAGAGCATTGTTAAGTGAACTGATGCAAATATACAGAGAGAATCTGCTAGGAAGTAAAAGAGAAGAGGCAACAGCACCAATATCTGTGAAACAATTCAACTTGAATGCCTTCAGGAGCAAAGACAATTTGTGAAGTGTTAGGTAAAATCCACATGACGACATATGGAAAAATGTAGCCAATCTCCAAATAACATGGAAAACAATAAGTTAAATTTGGTTCTTACAACATGAGGCAATATACTTGATCAATCTTTCTTAGTAGACATTAATTTGAGTCAGCTTTTCTGAGGGAAGGATGACGTGAGTGCAGGTCTGAGATTTATACCAAATCATATGCTGTTGTGTGACACTTGCCAACACCATAACAAATGAGAAAAGAATGGAGGAGTGGCACCACTTCCTTTGAAAGAAGATGATTTACTAGTTCCATACCAAGCTCAAGGGGGGTTGTTTCCAGATAGGAATCCTCCAGGGCGTACCGGAAAGAGCTTTCTAACTAGGTAAGCCATGAGAATGGATGCGGGTTGAAGGTGGTAATTCTTAAACATTATCACATGTTATCTGTTAGCAATCTACTAGCACCCATGGGTCTTTCTATTTTGCCATGTGCTGTCCATTTTTTCAGGTCTATTTTCCTTAGGAAAGATACCTACATCCCTACATCTGAACTGGTAAGTGGCTCCCAGATAGTGACTGCTCTCCTGTCTAAGCTGTCATGGTTTTGCAAGTGCTTAAGCCAATCATGCAGGGAGCTGCATTTGGGTTTTTCTCATAAATCACCCATACTTTTAGAAAGGAAATGTGCACATGTCAACACTCAAGCTGAAGCTTCTAAAAGACCAATTTTTTAGGGTCCAGTTGGCTGGTGATGCCGCCTACACCTTTTCTTCTACTTCCTTTCTTTCCTTCTCTCTCTCTTTCTTTTCTTTTCTTCTTCTTCCTTCTTTTTTTTTTTTTTTTTTTTTTTTGGGGGTGGGCGGGCGTGTCTGGTTTGTCTGCCCTGTCCCCATATGCATATATTATTCTGATACTTCTATGTCAGCTCCACCAATCTAAATCCCTAGAACAAGTTGGTGGAAACACGCGTTTCACAGCTCTCAATAACATTACCCTGTGTTGTGAACTGGGAAGCCAAGTCAATAACACTGGTTTACTGATATGCTGTCTAGACAAAAAATGCGCAACTAAGTTGTCAAGAAAACTATAGGCACCCACCCTTTTACTTAAATGCAAATTTGTTTTTGAGTTTTTCCTTTCCCTTTTTTTGGGGGGACACTGGCGGAGGGGAAGAAAACTGGAAAATTGGATGACATTCCACTGACAGATATCTGGTTAGTAAGCATTTTTTTACAATAATTATTAGCAAATAAATATTTGTTAGCACATGACTTAGAGCTTTTGAAGGTCTCTAAAAAAGGCAATCATATGGATGCTTCACAGCAGCCAAGTGAATTATTTACAAACCAAACTTTTTCTGTTCTTTGGGACAGGATCTTTACATCAGTACAATATTGATTATCTGATTTTTTAGTTCAGAAAAAACTTACCATTTTTGCATTCACCGGAGCCCGCTCACCAGCCATGTGCATGGCAATCCTAGCAGCAGTTTTATCACTTGCTGAGGACTTTGCTGCTGCAGCACTTCTTCCGTGTACAGAAGCAGAAGCAGCATCAACAATACTATAAGATTGTCGGGGTTTAGCCTCTCCATTTGCATTGGATTTAGAATCCTCTTTGATGCGTGATCTTGCAGCTAATATGGCAGAAAGAGCAGCAGCTCTTTCATTTTGTGCCTTGTTTCCTCCTCCCCCATGTAATGCAATTTCTTTTGCTTTTTCAGTTCCAAGCTCCTTAAGCATCTGCTTGATGTCTCCAGAAACATTTATGTTGTAAGTTGGGTCTGAGCTCATTTTCTTAAGTTCTGGCCAAGAGAAATTAACGAAGTCATGATCATGGGAAAAAATAAAAATAAGAAATAAAAGACAGAATTTTACAGCCAAACCAAGAATGGATCAAGACTATGCTCACCTTCATCCTCAAGTTTCAAATTATTTTTAACATGATCAAAATCTACAAGAACCTTGCTATCAAGTGCACTAGGATTCTGCAAAGCACACCAAAAACTTAAGGAGAAGATCACAAAATTTTGCTGTCAAAATATAGTTAAGAAATCTAAACACATTCAACTAGAAAGGATGACTCAAACTCCTAATTACCTGAATTGTAATAATATCTTCTTTAGCGAATGGTTCATCGGTCAAAAGCTCCTTCCAATTCTTGGTCTTGATATTTAATTCCTTGATAGCCTAAGAGACAAAAGCAAACAAGTAGGTCCTCAACACATTCACATGAATCATAATAAAGTACTTGCAAGGAAGGACTACTAACATTGTTGATCAGTGAATAGACAGACCTCATAGCAGAATACATTTCCTGTGGTCTTTATAGCAACTATATGTGTAAATTCAGTAAAAACTTTGTTCAATACCGGGCAATGAAACTCACCTGCATAAAATAAAGAAAATGCATTGCAATTGATTTTGAGAAAAAAATCAACATGTCCTTGGTCTCCAAATCCATCACACACATGAGCGCTCGCGCGCGCGCACACACAGAATGAAGAAATAAAGAAAGAGTGAAAGAAAAGGAAAAGATAGTAGCAACTAGTGTCCTTGACAACAGTTGGAGTAAAAGTATCATGTTAATTTTATTACAAAAAAATTATGATAGCAAGTAGATTTTGGGTATCTATTATGTTATTATTGGACCAAACAGAAATCAAAGATGTAATGCCACCAGGAGACCTAGGCTTAGTTTATTCCAAAGTTAAAATATAGACAATTGATGCAGTCCTTGGCCTTCTCAGATAAGCAAACAACAAGATCACACATGAAAACACCTCATCACTAAGAGATTAATGATTGCTAAGCAACAAATTACCATGAATCTATCTCACAGCCTTAAAAGCACCAAGCAAATGTTGCTGACCATAAACCAACAGACTTGTTAAGAATAACAAGCAGATTTTGCTTAACCTACTTTGTAGATAGATTATTTCCAAGAATCAACTGTGACTTCCAGTCACAAAAGAAGAGCCTTACCAGCATAACATAGCTTACTCCTACAATATGTTAATGTAACCTTACAATACAGCAAGCAAAATATATAAAATTAAAAACAGACAGCCAGTGATCTCTCCAGCCAATACCTAATTACAATAAAATATTTCTTGCCGGCAACCAATTGTATCTTGAAAATGCCAAACACTACACTAAGACAATTAAGGTCACTACCTTTTTAGGTGTAGCCTGCTCAGCAGTATGTTCAAGATTCAAATCTCTGGAATTCTAAATTTACAAATTGCACTACAGTTTCATTGTCGCCCGTTTCAGTTAACAATAAGTGGCATTTCCTTCTTTCACCAGTGTCCTACTCTAAACATGTATCTATCCTAAACAGTCAAGTTCCAGCCAATTCAAATAAATGCCACCCAGGGAAAACATATAATAGCAGTCGAGCTTGCAGATAGCATCCAGAAAGAATGAAATCTGTAAGATGTTAATATACTTACCATCAGAATTCTTGTGAAAAACAAGGGGTATTAGATCCTCTAGCTTGAGCGGACCTCCTGTAACTGGATGTTTTCCATACTTCCTGATGTATGGAATTATGTTCCTACACACAAAATCTTAAGTCCAATGAGAATAATCACTCTATCATAGAACATTCAAGGACTTCTATTCAGACAAGGATTAACCAAATTTTATCAAGAGTACTGAATGGCCGAGAAACCTACATTAGGTCGAAGACACTGCCATCTTCGCAGCACACAGGATCCTCGAACGGAGTAAAGGTGAGACTGTAATCAAATCAAAAATTGGATAGTGGTTTAAAATCAGAATCAACAAAAACATACATAACATACCGCAAGTATATAAACTTACGCGCAGCAGTAGAATGGGAGGCGTTTGAAAGGGGTGCGAACCTCTTTCGATTTGGCGCCCCCCCACTCGGTGGCCCACTCCGTCTTCGTGATGAACATTCGGTCTTTGCTATGCTGCTTCTTCCCCATCTTCCTCTAAATATTTAGAATGCAATTTAGGGTTCCGGCGAGTTCAATTGATTAAACAACAAACCCTAGAGCTATATGATAGCGATGACAGCTTATGCACTGTCCGGCACTGACTAAGGCGGTACGAAATAATCTAGAGAAGGTTTCTTCGATCTCGACAAATACACGCCGACGGCGGAACTTTCTTTTTTTCCGGGCAGGGTGTTTCGTGGACGTCGACGGCTGCTCGGATGACCGAATCACTATCAGTAAAGGGCCGGTATAGCGGCAAATCGGGACTAGGGAACCCAAATTCAATGATCCGCTAATAATATGGGCCTCGTCCCCAAGTCTCTGTCCCTCGTTCTTTTCCTCTTAGTTTTACCTCCTTTATCCCAAAAAAATTGTTTTAGCAACAAAATAACATTTATAAATTTAAAATTTTCTTGGTCATTTAAACAAAATGAACTTAATCATTGTTTATATTGTATATGTCTTGAAGGGAATGAAATGAATGAAAGGCTTAAATGTAATTCTCATTAGCAAATAATAAGCAATATATTGAAAACAATAAAAATTATTATTTTTATAAATAAATATAGTGAATAAAATAGTTTTTTGTTCAATGAGAAAATTAATTTTTACTAATTTCATTAATTCTTTCTGCCTTCTCCATCCTTGAGATTAGATAATTTGACTAGGTTCGTTTTAAGTGTTTGAAGTTTAATTAGAACAGCTTAATAATTTTGGTGGTTTAAAATAAAATTTAAAATTGAGATATTTTATCTTTTTTTTTATAAAATTAATACAAATTCTTATTTAAAATTTATTTTCTAACTTTTTGAGATGCAAAATTGCTAATTAAATTTTTATACACAATTTTCTAATATTTCCTTTTCAATTAATTTTATAGATAATCAATTTAATATTTCGTTAAATATTTTTTTATTTTTGATAACATTTTGTTAACTTTAATCTTGAAAAACTTCGTTTCACAGAAATAATATATTATTAATAATATATTATTCTATAAGTATTATAAACAAGCCGGCTGACTGCTTGCTTGCATGCAAATTGGTTATCTCCTGCTTGCTTCCATTTTAAGAATATGAGATTATAATGAGAAGATAAACGAGAGGAATAAATTAAAAATTATAGAAAAGTAATTATATTATAGTTGACTAATTAATGTAAATAATATTAATTGTTATAAGTTGTTAAAAGTATTTTTAAAATTATTTAAATTATTATTATTATAAAGATAATAAAATTTTACATCTAAAATTTTCGTGACTTAAAGCAAATACTATAATTATTTTATTCTAAATCCAACTAAGTTCAATATACAAACTTAAATATATAATATTACTTATTTTTAAAAATTTTCAAGCCCTCAACTCTTTTTTTACTTTATGTTTTGACTATTATAATTTTAAGCAGAATTTTGTTTGAAATTTTAATTTAAATATAAAAAATAATAAAACAACCTAAAATATGCAATATAATAAAGAAAATATACAGTTCAATTGGGCACTATTTTATAGGTCAATTAGGTCCACTTTATTAGTACGTTTTTAGAAATTAAAGCAAAATGTGATTTTATGATTTATTTAAAAAAAAATCCCTAAGTCGGGTTGCATCGGGTTGGGCAATATGGGTTAGCGCCCAAGAGGGCTCCGTGGTGGATCTCCAAAACCCTCGATCCAAAATTGTAATTCTTCGCCATGCATGCAGATCTCTGTGACAACTAAGAGCATAGTTATCAAAATCGTGCTTTAAAGTATAAAAACATACGTTTTTTCACTTTTGCTCATATCATACGTTTTCGATTACACTTAAAATTGTTTTTGAATAAAATCTTATAAAATCTCGTCTTAAAGTAATATAAGTATGCTTTTACGCTTTTACATTTAAATTAATAATTTTTCAATTTGCGCTAATTTTTTTCTTTTGCTTATGTTAGCCTATAGCTTTTTCCTTCTTTTTTCTTAGGGTCGGTGGCTTGTAAGTTACAAGGTGGAGTTGACTAATATTGTTTTATGTACAAATATTGTTGTATAATATATTATTGGGATTTTGTTTCTAATTTTTTGTAATATTTTTTTCTTCTTCATGTATTCTAAAGTGCCAATTCAAGGTAGACCTCTTAAAGTTATTGGAAGAAAATTACTTGCTTCTAAGTATTGATAAAGTCTTATCTAATTGTGTATCATTTTGTGTCATTTTCTTGGTATTAAGAAATAAAAAAGTTCGTAGTGACAAAATAAATTTGAAATTATTTGTAAAAGAAAATTATTTTTATTGTTTTTACTTGAAAGAAGACTTTATTTTTAATATTTGGTGCTCACCTTTATGTAAAGATATAATCTATTATTATTGTGTATTAAAGAGGTGAAAAGGACAGAAAATATATGTTTTAATTTTATAAATTTATATATATAAATTTTTTATATATATTGAGTAACACTCACTGTTATATTATTACTTTTACATGATGATGCAGACGCTTTTGGTAAAAATTCGTTTTCGAAATCCTTGACTGGGAGTCCAGGACCATCACTCGGCCCTGCGATGGGTGGCGGCGGGGGCCCGAGGAATATCGGCGGCAACAGCAGCAGTAGCGGGGAGGAAGATGGAGACGCCGATTGGAAAGCTGCCATTGACTCCGTCGCTGCGACCACGACTTTCAGCCGAACGACCAACATCGATCTCGCCTCCACTTCTAAAGCATCAAAAGCGAGTCCAGTCGACCACGCGATGAAGCACGATGATGATAGCGAAGGGAGCAATCATAAACTTCAAAATCTAAAGCATTACCAGATCAAGGTAATGGATTTCTCTCTCAAATTGATTTCTATCTGTGCACACAGGTTTTATCACGCCTCTGTTTAGTTGCATCAGTAATCAGACAACTTAGACGTTCGGTTAGCATATTTCCATTTAAATGCTTTGCACTCAGATTATGCACTAAAACATAGTGTCTACAAAGAAACTGCTCGCAGCAACGACGTATAGAACATTGCAATTTCTGTGTCCAGGCCATGGTGGTGCTTCTCACGAAACATTTGTCTACTTGTATAAAGTTTCTGAGAACAGTACACCTATCAATTTGTCACCAGCAATTAGGACATTATATAAATTGTTGGGCAAATATTTATACCGGTTTTATTGCTTCAATTCAGAACCTGAAGTTTTACAGTTAGTATAACAAATGTTAACTCTTCTACGGCCCTTTTCAGCTGAATCAAGTGCAACTTGTAAGTTGAGCCTGATTATTGAAAATTTATGGTGGATAATTTGGCAGCTAAAGGTTAATCTAATGGGTTCGTGCGGACAGGCTTATACACACAAAGGATCACTTTTATATCATTTTTCAGAAGGACTTCTATCAAATGGTTTTTTTGTTTGTATTGAAAATTTTGGGTTCATAATAATTACCCTAAACGTTAACAATGATGAACTATATGACAGGCGCAAAGTCTTTTGGATGATATCTTGGAGAAGAGCATGGAAATTGTAAGAGATCCTATTAATACTCTTGAAGATAACCCTATCATCACTGAAGGTGGAGTTAGACTGTTCAAACATGCTCCCCTGGGATACTATTTGATTACACAGGCAAGTTGGCAAACAAATTTTTGATTGCATTTTTTTGAAGAAGACAGGGGGGGGGGGGGGGGGGGGGGGGTTTACACCATAAAAACGTCACTTACTTGCTCCACCTGTTGTAGTTAATTAAGTTTTCATTTGGACTTGTCTTATAAGCTAGCTTTTTACCTTTTTCTTTTAAAAATTTATGGAGGGAAACAAATCCAGTAGATAACTCAAAACATTAATGTATTTGATTTGGTTCATTCCAAAAGGCAAAAGCAAATGGTAAGCTTATAAAGTTTCCAAATGAGTAGGTCAATATGCATAGTAGTTTTAAACAACTCTTTCTTAATGTGAAGAGGTTGTCACAAGCATAACTGTCAGTTTTATTTTATTTTTTTCCTTAATCTTTTGCCTATTCTATAGCACGCTGAATTGAAAGAGGAGTTGCTAAATTTTACTCTTCTTTGTTTAGGAATACAGAAACTAGATACAAATTTTCTCCAATTAACAAATTTTACTACCCCTTGTTAGCATAAGGGGTAATTTCCTGCAGCACATTACATGGTCTCATTGCAGCTGGTGACATTGTCACGTTTACAAACAACATCATGTTTCACTTCAAATGGTTGTTCTCATTCTAAATAATGTTACGGACATTGAAGAGGTTTCTTGTGTCTGAGCTTACTTTTCTGGTATAGATCTTGCGCTTATCCTGTTAGAATCAAAGTGCCTAGAAACAAATAGTCCTTGGGATTGTCTTTCTTGGGGATTTTCTATGAGAGAAATATATATGCATGTTAACAGATGAACTTCAGCGACCAACAAAAAAAACCAAGGATTCTTCCTGGAAAAGAGATTGATGAGAACTCAGAGAAGGTTTGCTGTCTCTTCTAGGTTTCTTGGGTTCCTTAATGCTTATACTTGGCTATTCTGCATATGTATTGTTCTTAATTGTATTTCACTATGCCAAATCAATATGAAACATCTTCCAGTTCAGATGGAAAATCCAATCTGTTGCTGTTGAGGGGATGGATATTATAGCTGCAGCAAGAGGTGCATGCCAGAGATCGTTAGCCAAACTGGAAGCAAGAGAAGCGGCAGCAAAAGCAGCTACCGAGGAGGAGGAGGAAAGAGTGGCAGAACTCAAAAAGATTAGGGGGGAGAGATGGTTACCTTCAATTGCAAGAGATATGCAGGTCAAATTACCAAGTTCTTGAGACATGGCTGGCCAGAATTTGATGTGCTTCTGTGTTTCTCGCCCAGTTATCCTTTATCTATTGTCTTTGTTTTACCACTGTTATTGCTTGTGCCCCCTAAATTCATGTTTGTTGCAGTTATTGGGTCCCTTAACTATCCATTTTTCCTGACCAGTGGAAAGCCAGAGGACCATTGTGTTAGCATGCAACAACAATTGTGCCGGTGTTTCCCCTTTGTTAAGTTGTCATGTAGTACGTTAACATACAGCTGAAGTAAATAATGAAGACATGTTCTTTCAATGCATGGTTCTAGAGTAATCCATTGTTATTGATGTATCAAGCACCAGTCAGAACGGACTTCAGTATCAAAATATTACCTATTACTGGTGTTTTCTCATGTGAATTGTGATACTCTATCCTGAATTTCGAGTCCATAGACATCGAAGGCAAGCAACTACACTTTGTACCTAATTGGAAGAAAGTAAGAGCTCTGACATGCATATTAATAATTAGTAATGTGGTTCAATATGTTTCACAGATTTCAAAAGATAAAAGGCGTTTAAGTGAATGTGACGGTAACTTCAATGTACTGAGATATGTGGGGTTGCACCCCCACATTACCGGACTAGGTGACTTCAGTGGCTCCCTTTTGATGTACAAGTGCCCCGTGTCCATAATTATCATTGGTTGAAATGGGCTTGCTTTATGACTGGGGTCTAAGTGTCTTCTCACCTTTACTCTGTCATGTTCCTCATCTCCTGTGAGAGTTTTAGTATCTGAAATGGCACTCCAGCATATTTTTGTTGTGGGATTTTGTTGTTGGAGATTTGAAATTGAGGTGATAATAGAGATGGTGATTTTCTTGGCAGAGATTGTGGATGGCTTGATCCAGTGTGTGAGGACCCTTTGGGCTCTGCAGGAGCGGTGGTTTGATGCCTTTTGGATGCTGTGAGCTCCGCAACAAGTGCTCTGACCAGGGCTCTTAACTTCTTTGTTATCTCCTTTCACCGCACTTCCAGGCATGGACAATTTCTCTGTACATGTAGCTTTTCTCGAATTCTCTTGTTGATCTCTACTTCCCTCTCTCCCTCCTTCGAACAAGATGGTTTCATTTGGTTAATGAATATGCTGCTTCATATATGTAGCGGTTGCCTTCGCTTGTATTCAAGGCAATCCTTTTGAGTCGCGCATGGTACATTAGTGTTGATTTTCTTTCTGCTCTGACGGGTATCACCATGCCCTTGCGCATATTCCACATCTTCCACCTGAATTGTCAGTGTTTGCGTATATGTTTTGCATATTCATGAATGAACCACGACACATACTTGAGGCTGAACTCTCCTGTTCAGCTTTCAGCTCAAGGAGATATGCTTGTGTCTAGTGTTTCTGAATGCAAGACTCCTAGGAATTATTTTAAAATTCTTCTGTTCCTGGAAGAAGGAAAAACAATTGAAGCAGATTGTTTTCTGAAAATGTTGCTGGAATAGTTTTAGAAAAAATAGGCCCCTTGATGCTAATAACAAAATAATTTATTACTGGATTCTTAAAATGTATGTTCAGTCAAAAACTGAAATGTTGTAGAAACAATAGAACTTTCATAATTTTTAGTAACTTTAGCTTTTCAGAACACCAAAAACAAAAATTGAAAAAAAAAAAAAGCCAATCTCAAAATCCTTTGCCCTTCCCGTAGGCAATCAGTAGGACCAGCAGAAAAGGCAAACGTTGCAAGCATAGCATCACGGCCACAATTTTTAACGAGAATGTTATGTTTCTATTGCTAACGATCATGATTGATTCTTCTCAGTTAGGTTCGACACTTCCAAACTGCAGCTTACGTTCATTTCGCATAATTAATACAGATATTAAAGGCTCGTAGAATATCCACAGGACGAGCTCTCATTTGACAATGAAAAGCACATACAGAATATAAAATAATGCTTGCACCAGTTCCTTACCTTTGAAAGCAAGCACAAGAGGCCTCTCGAAGTGCCTTACAACAAATCCAACACTAATCAATCGACCTTTTTATTAATTTAACGTCAAACACAATTGTTAAGTAGAGAAATAGGAAAGAGTTGTTTCCCTCCATGACATCAGCTATTTTGCAAGCATATTGTTGTCGGTAGACGCAGGTTCCCAGCCAGGAATTCGAGGCACTTCACAAATCAGGGGCGGAGATAACCATTCTCCTCCAAGTAAGATATGGACTATTTCAGCCATATCATCAGGGGAATCACTAACCTTCCCTTTTTGTTTTAGCACTATCTACAAGGTGGTAATTCAAATAATTAGTCGGTTAACAAAAATGTCATAAACAGGAAACAAATAATAACTGATCATAGAAACAAATCCAACCAAGATGATGCTATAAATCCCTCTTAAAAGGTCTTAAAACATACAAGTAAAAACCACCAAAGAGGTCTGAAAATTTCATCATATAAGATGATAGAATTCTGGAGGTTGTCAACAAAAACCGAAGGCAATCCACATAATCTCAGTAAATTCAGGGTCTCTTCAGGAATTCATTCTTTTTTCCTGGTCACTATTCATTTTTGTCACTGAAAACAGAAAACACTGCAAAAATATCAAAAACCTTATTGTTTCAGATTTTTTCCGTTTCTGAGCAAAAATAGTTTACGAAAATTGTGAGAATGACTTTTTGTTGCTTTTCTAAAAATGGATCTTTTTTCTTGAATATTTTGAAAACATGCCAAATGGATTTTGTATTTTTGAAGTGGAAAATTGAAAACAAATCCTAGTAGGTCCTTGCTTTGCCATCTACACCGTGAAAAGGATAGCATCTAGGCACATGTAGCTAGTACTTAAAGGATTTAACTGACATTAATTAAACAGTGGCATTTTGATTTTGAACAGAAGCTTATTAGAGGAAAGAAATCAAACACAAAAGAAATGTAAATCAGCCATTTTTTCCCCTTCAAATTTCTTTCTTAAGGCCTTTTGATATAGCTTGTATCAATTTAACCTGAATTTTCGTGCTTTTAGGTGTAATAGAAAATCTATCATAAATACATTGTGTTTGAATCAGTTCAGGTGTCCACGAAAATCCTTTCTATTGAACAACTACCTCAGCATTCAAGGGTGGCTCATACGGATCATCAATTCCTGTAAAGCCTGCAAGACACCAGGGGCAAGGAAACAACTTAAACTTTTGAGACTTGTGACCTTAAAAGGCAAATGACGGGAAGAAAAGCAGATGACCTGCTAAATTAGCTAAGAATGATGTAAAGGAGTCAAAAAATCGGTGTAATAGAAATTTGATGTTTGCCTAAAGTGCCTAAGCAACTAATCCTATGGGATGCATCCCGTTAGAATTTTTACCTCTGAAAATATAAAACAACTGGCAGTAGAAACAATATGTTAAAACCTGTAGATTATCATGGAATTTCTTTTCAAGTGAAGAAGGTGTTGGCTTGTTGAAACATTGAAATAGACTCAGGGTTATATCAAGCACATGCAATTCATTTATTAGCATTTTAAAACATCACTAACCCAAAGCAAATGACCATTTGGATTTCAGAAGTTTTTCTTAGAAAGAAGGTACCTTCAATTTGTCCAGCTCGTGCAAGCTTGTACAAGCCCTTAGGGTCCCTTGCCTCACATACTTTGAGAGGCACATCCATAAACACCTGCGAGTAAAATAGTTTATCAGTCAAGACCAGAAGAACCTCTCTCCTTCCAAAAAATCCATTCTCTTGACCAGGAAGTCCGCACAAACCTCAATGAATTCTCCTTCTGGCAACAGTGCACGGCAGGCATCTCGGTCCTTTCTATATGGAGATATTAAACTAGCAATGCAAATAACACCACATCTGCAAATAACTTTGCTACCTCACCTAGAAACCATAAATATGTGTATTCAATTTAGAAAAGGAAAAATAGGTCTAAAGTGCATAATAAAAAACTAGTGAAGGATGGCCTTTAAAAACCCACCATCCTTCGTATATTTTCTGCACGGTCCTCTGCTTGAACTAAGATCACCATTTAGACCATGACGAACATTATCACCATCAAGAATGTAGGTCAACTTTCCTCTGGAGTGCAAGCCTCGACTTAAAGCACATGCTAAAGTGCTCTTTCCTAAAATTAAAAGTTCAAGCTTTTTAACAAAGAATATATATGGGGGTGGGAGATGTTATCAGATTAACTCTTGCTAAAATTTAAGCTTAAACAGAATGGCTTAAAGATGTTATCAGAAAATTGGACTGGCATGTTCTCTAGTATTGGGATTGTACTGATGAACATTGATAATCTGGTTTCCATACTGGACTTCACAAATAGAAGAACAGAAGAAACCTCTCAGAGGACTCTGATTTTGTCTTTAAAATCTCAGACAATACCATAACTGTAAATGATTATATTCAGGTAGCCATTGAGATTCCATACCAAGTTTGCAAACTTATGTGCGGGGTTGATTAGATACAAATAAGCAAGGATGTACAACATTTGTATTGGTTTGAAGATCATATATTCCATGCATGCTTTGCCTATATAAACAAATTCATAATGACTTTATCACTGTATAAGCCTGTCTCTTTTGATCATATACAATGTAGATCCAATCTGCCTGAGTCATCTATATTTCTCACATCTCGCAGAGCTAATTTAAGCTCACCGGAACAAGTTGTGCAGCTAAGATAGCTTGAGTTACAGGGGAAAAAAAAATGCTTCTCAAGCTGCTTAACCTTTCAATGATAAGAATTGGATACATTTTCTCGTGATTTCAAACTTTACACGGGTAGCTAGCATGCTATTTGTAACTCTAAAGAGGGTGCCTTTAATTGCTGAGGACTTTATTTCCAAAACTGATTCCACTTCTTTCAAATCAATAAGTCTGATTCTTCACAATTTGGAATGTTACCATCATAAAAACAATAAAGGACAGTATGACTCTCAATTGCCCAATAGATAAGCTCTCTGTTCTGTCAAATTTTACCATTTGTCAAAGCGATAAAGGATTGTATTACTCTCCATCACCCGAAACACAGGCTCTCTATTCTGTCCATGTACTTTTTCTCCATTCATAGCTTCTCCAAGTTTTAGTGACTTCAAGCCCTGCACACTAGTTTCTCTTTCTGTCATTGTAAAGTTATTTGTAACATGCACAGCTTTTTTATTCCACTTGGAAGGCAAAGGAGCAAATGAAGGGAAGAAATATTTATTGTAAACAAGTATGTCATTAAAGGTCATATTTTAAACAAAAAAAGCATCTGTCAGTTTTATTGAAAAATGCAAGCTTGAATACAAATTTTAACTAGTGCTTCCTTCAAGTTAGGGAGAGCATAATGAGATGCAAAAAGAAGGGAAACAAATACAGGTAAATGGCATTTATCAGATTAAATGAGGGTCAGAACAGCTTTAAATGTAATGAAGTAGAAGATTAAATAAATGCCAGAAATAAAATCCTTATAGGTATCATCAACTTGTTACCTCACAAATCATTTCACTAGAGAAAACCCATGAACTTGGTTTGTGTCTCAACAGCTTCCTACTACTCTCTGTACAACAGTTCCCACAATTTCCATTGCAATAACAACAGTGTCCATGAAATCTAAAGAAATTTGTAACTTTCAAATGGCATGAAAAAATTTTTTTTTTTGTTTTTTGGTGGCGTGGGGGGCAGGGGGGGGGGGGGTTTGGGGGTGGAGGAGGTAAAAAAGCTTCAATCATCACTGTCAAAATCATCACAGATAAAGCACGAAAGATGTCAATTATGTATCATAAGTTATGTCTTAAATCTTTAAATCTTTAAATCGTCACTAACTAGAAAACTGTAGTTTTGTAGTATCCTAATCCGTGAAGGGTTGATTGCTCCAAGGTCCAAACAAAGATGATATCAAGTAGGGATTGCCAATTGAAAGTTACATAGAACATACAACCTGAACCGCTGAGGCCTGTTATCCATATGACGCAACCTTTTTGTTGAAGTAATTCCTGCCTGTCAATTTTGTCAACAGAACACTTGTGCAGACAATATTTTTTGAATTTCCAGTGTCTGACCTCGGCGAATGCTTTTACCTAGTCAGCCAAATCAATTTAAAAGCCATGTGAATTCGAATAAAAAGCAACCATTTTGCAGTTACAAACAGAGTCAACGTACAAAAAGCTAGCTCTGGAAAACCAGTAATTCATGTGAAAATGACGAACATAACAATCAAATATTAGCACGCAAAAGTTAGCTATACCAAAATAGCACAAGCCATACCAAATACCTACTAAAAACGGAAACAAAAAACAGTACATAATCAAATCTTCACGTTGAAACAGATTTGTAATTTTTCACGTTCCAAACAGAAATAAGACGGAGGATGAAGACAATAAACATCAAAAGATTAGAATACCACTACGAGGATCACTTAGCAACAGGCTATCGCTTGATTTGGAGCCAGAATTGCGCAGTTCCCGAGCAAAATCGGCTTTTCCATTTACGCACGACGTTTTGGAACCCTCCATTACCGTCACCGGGTGAAGCACAAAAACGCGATTCGCTCCCGCACCTCGTATCTGCAAGCTCTTATCTCCAAAATCAGACGCCGCGAAGTCTACAAATCCCAACTTCGGAGTCGAACCACCAAAACGAAACTCCGGTGCTGAACATGGCACCGGCGGGCGATTTCCGCCGCAATCATCTCATAATCTCCAAATAAATAGCCCAGAATTTGACAAAGGAGTTGAAGCTCCGAAGAAGTAAATTCTTCGTAACTGAAT